GGGGCCGCGGGGCGGGGCGGGTCCCCGCGCCTCTCGTTCCCGGCCCGGCCCGCAGGACCACGCGGACGCGGTGCGGGACCCACGCATGTCCCTGGCAAGCTCCCTCTCGACACAAGCGAGCCCAGTGTAGCCACACTCCCATCCATGGGACGGGAACACACCAGGCCGCACATGTCACCATGGCCCAGGACGGGCGAAGCACTTGTCATAGTCTGACGGGAAAGACACCTGGCCTTAAGTGAGCCAAGAGACGGCGTTAACCACGGGGCTAGAAGGGTGCAGGCCAGGTGAAATGTGGGGCCTCTGGTTGCCCTATCTCGGTGTGTGCCTGTGTTGGGGCCGCTCACCAGGTACTGGCTGATGACCGCCAGCCTCCCTCCCTCCCTGAACCATGCTGAGCCCGTGGGGACAGTCCACAGAAGAAAGCTCTCCTGGCCCCAGTAAGTGGGTCAAGGGCTTTCAACAGCAACCCTGGCAAACCGAGCCCACGCCAGGACCCCTGCGCACCCCTCTGCCCAGAGCCCCAGCCCCGTCCTTCCAGCCCAAGGCCAGCACAGACGACACACAGCCACCAGCAACTTCCTTGCAAAAACCCTCGGCTCACCCGAGGGCCAATGGAAATGTATTGATTTTATTTTTGTCCTTTTCCGTCTTTCCCCAAGTGGCTTTTCCTTGCAAAATGCCTGACATGACACCAGAGGGGAATCTAGGAATGGGGGGCACCCCAAGGGGCAGCCCAGGGACTTAAATACAAGCTGGAGGGCAGGGCATGGGTGGGACAGGCAAGAGACAGCACAAGGGACATGGCTTTGTAGGTAGAGACCAAGGTTTGTTTTTCTGCAGCAAGCAGCTGTGCCAGAGGGCAGGGGGCTGAGACCCTGGGTGGGGAGAGGATCAGAAGCCCCAGCCCTGGCCACACCCACGTTCCCCAGAGGAGTGCAGGGGAGGAGAATCTGTCCTTTAGGCGCCAGGGGCCAGAAGGGGGAGGATAAGCCAGACGTGCTGCCTCTGAGAAAGGGTGGAGGGGCTGGCAGAATAAGGGTTAAGGCTGGTACACGGCCTCTGGCAGGGTGGGCCTTCTGCCTCCGCCTGCCTCAGGGACAAAGGGGCATGGTGGGCAGGCGGCACATGGGCCTGGCTCTGGCAGGGCTGGGGTAGGCAGGAGCAGGCTCCCTCCAGGTTCAAGACACAGGCCCAGCGTGCCTGCCCACCCAGCCACCCTGGCTGTGCTCAACCCTGCCGCAGCTGGACTGCAGCTGGACGGTGGAGCTGACTGAATGTGGGAGGGGCGGGGAAGGCTGCGAGGGGACAGGGTGGGCTGCCGGCCCCATGGCCCCACGCTTGTCCTGAGGTTCGGCCCAGGGCCCTGGATCCCAGGTCCCTTGGCCCCACTCCTGGCACTAACTGCAGCCAGGGCAGTAGAGCCCAGGAAGGTCCTCAGCTCTTGGGGGAACAAGGGAGGAGAAGGGCAAGGAGAGAAAGCCGCTGCAGCATATGTGGGGGGTGGGGGGAGGAGACAGAGAAGCCCTCATCCCAGAGAAAGATGTGTGGTGGGGGTCTTTCCAAGTTACCTAGAGGCAGCAGCAGAGCAAGGCCCACCCCAGTCACAGGCCCTGGGGGTCCTCCCTTGGGGGCCCTGACAGAACCAGGGTTCAGGGCAGCAGGCAGATGGGCCAGAGGGAGATGAGGAGCCCAGGACACCCCAAAGCCACAGACTCAAATGCCCCAGAGAGGGGGAGGGAGGGGAAGGCATCTCCTGCCCCCTCAGGGGCATCATCTGGAGGCACCCCCTCCTGTCCCACCCGATGCGCCCCTCCTAGCAACAGCCGCCACCAGCCGGCTTCACAGGGGTGCTGTCGATCTTGAGGTTGGGCCGCTCACCCCCAGAGGCTGCCCCAGGCCCCATCCGCTTTTTGATCTCAGCAGCCATGGTCATGAACGCCTGCTCAACGTTGGTGGCGTTCTTGGCACTCGTCTCCAGGAAGGGGATGCCCAGAGAGTCTGCAAACTCCTGCCAAGGAGAGGACAGAGGAGGAGAGCAGGAGGAGGTGAGGGGCTGCAGGCCCGGCTAACACGCACCTGGCCCAGCCTGCTCACCTTGGCTGTGGTGTTGTCCACCACCTTCTTGGTGGTAAGGTCGCTCTTGTTGCCCACCAGGAGCTTGTTGACGTTCTCGCTGGCATAGCGGTCAATCTCCTGCAGCCACTGCTTCACGTTGGCGTAGGACTCCTGGGGGAGCCGGTCGAAAGTTATTCTGCTCCCAGCTCCCACCCCTGCCCCAGGCCTGGAGAACAGGGGCTTCTCTGAAGGGAAGGTGGGTGTCCTGGGTCCCTGAGCGAGGCAGCAGAGTTGGGCTTGGGGACCTGGAGGAAGCTCCCTCTTTCTCTCTTCAGACTTACCTTTCCTCCCTCCCCTCCTCTGTCTGCGACCCCAAAAGCCAGGCCAATGTAGCCCCAACTGCCTGCAGCCACTCTGTCCCTCCATAAGACACAGGAGAGACCTAACTATGTGTGGGGAGCCAAGCATACTAGAAGACAGACAGGTCTGAGGGGAGCCAGGGAGGGAGGAGAGGAGGCAGCTGACCCAAGAACAAACAGTCCAGCAAGAACCACAGAGTTCCCACAGTGGCAAAAAAATCCCTTTAAGCCTGTGGGAGGTGGAGGGTCCTTGCAGAAGGCGCCCTGCCTAGGAGGGAGACAGGTATCCTGGAAACAGAGCCCAATGTTCATCCTGCTACTGGCACCAACAGCCCGTCACTCAGCCTCAGACTCTCCCAATAGCCTGCCACCCGCTGTGGTCAAAGGACAGAACTTACGGGAAAGAGCTCCAGCTAGAGCCACTTTCCATTCCTAGAAGCCAGAGGCCTGGTGATACCACGCTAGCCCAAACTCACACCTCGAGCCATGTCCCATTCTGGGCCCTGTGCTGGGTGCTGGAGACAGAGAGAGGGGAACAATACCTGGTCCCTGCCCTAAGGCACTCAGGAGATGGTGGAGGAACAGACCAGGCAACGGCAAGACAGGGTATCAGAGCTGCAGGGATAGGAGGCAGGGGCCGGCGGAGCCCCGAGAGCCCCTCTGCCTGGGGAGGCCGAGCCAAACTGAGCCTGCAGGTGCAACCTGGCCCTGTGCGGGAGGAAGTGGAGGGGAGGGGAGGGGGGAGATCTGCACACTCACAGGATGTGAGGGGAGGGGGGAGGAGTTGAATGTTGCTGGAACACAGGCCCTGAGCAGGAACAGAGAGGGGGAGGAGGCAGGCCAGAGCCCAAAGGGTCTCACCTGGCCCCAAGTCTGGGGACACCAGACCATGGAGGCTTTCTCAGGAATTCTCCGGAAGGGGGCAGGTAGACCATACCTGTTTCAGAAAAACAGTCCTGGCAGGAGTGTGGGGGCCACACAGACTGGCAAGAGGAAGACCAGCTGGGGGGCAGCTGGGAAAATCCAGGGGAGACACTACCCGAGCCGGGGACAGATTTGGTCAGACCATCCTAGGGTTAATACCTCGCTCAGTCATTTACTGTGTGACCTGAGATAGGCTCCCTAACCTCTCTGACCCTCAGTTTCCTCCCCTCTACAAACTACCTGCAGCAGGGCTGTTGTGAGCATGAGATAATGAATGCAGCCTGTCTCATAACAAGTGCTCAGTTAGCAGGAGCTGCTATTACCCTCATCACTGCTATTATTACGAGAAGATGGATTTCAGAAGATGGTGGCAGGATGAGGGGACATGGCACCGACTGGATGGGGGAGGGGAGGAAGGAAGAGTTTTCTGGTCAGGCTGACAGGGACTCTGTGACAAGGATGGGACTGCAGGAGCTGGTTCAGGGGGATGGTGAGGTGGGCGCTGGACTTGCTGAGGTCTGCAGATGGTCTGGGGCTCAGGAGAGGCTGCCTGGGCAGGCAAGGGTGAGGTTCAAATGCTGGCTTTGAGAAAACGGGCATGTTTCTCATCACCTCTCCAAGTGTGCCACCTCATCTGGGAAGCAGGGACCCCACTGTTCCCTTCACGGGGCAACTGTGAAAGACCAGCACGGTGTCTGACACAGAGGGGGCGGCTGCTAACTGAAGGCCATTCAGAAGGAGGAAGAGCAGCATGCAGGCTGGAAGCCCAAACCAGGACTGCAGCCAGAACTGCACAGGGAGAGCGAGGAGGCAGCCTGCGCCAGAGTCGGGGAGGCACAGACTATGGGGTTTGGGGAGCGGAGCAGGATGGACTGGGAAAGAAGACACAGAAAAGGCAGAATTGAACGCAGTAGCAGGGTGGATGGGGTAGGTGGGGGAGCCAAAGACAAGCTTTTCAAGGAGAGGGAAGAGAAGAGAATTTAAAGCCACAAAGGTCAAACGGGACGTGAACTGAAATGAGGTCACTGATCTGGCAGTGAGAAAGTCCCGGGTGACCTGAGTGGCACACAGTTCAGCCACAGCTTGCTGTCCAGGAGCCGGGGAGGCCAGGCGGGAGTGGGATTCCTAAGTCCCTGTGAGCCTGTAGAGCCCTGCTGCCCCTCAGCACAGGGACTCCTCCTGGCCCGGGGCTGATGGAAGTGACCCCACATCCCCAGGGCCAGGCCCCTGGTAAGCAACAAGTCTGGTAGAAGGGACACAACAGATGGAATCGAAGACGCAGGCTTTCTGCCTCTGCCACTCAACCAGCTGCAGGGCCCTCAGCAAGTCGCCTGATGCCCCCTCCTCATCAGTAAAATGGGAAGGTGGCATGGACGTCTTTGGGAGGTCACGAGAGTCAGACGACACAATGGCTGCAACAGGGTCTGTAAATGGTAAGCGACAGCAGGACTGCTTCCAGCTGCTACCGCCACCACCAGCCATGACTGAGGCTGCCGCCATAGACACAGGGTTCCCAGGCCTCTGCTCCCACGGAGCCCAGGGCTCCCTCACTTCCTGTCTAAGGCCGTCCAATGGCTCCCCGACATGTGTTCCATACAAAACGCCACGGGCTCTACGCAGGAGGCCAACCAGCTGACTAAAGCTCCACAAAGCACAGGTGCCCAGGTCTAGAATGAGGTGGTAAGTTCAGGCAGGAGGACCTCGGGAGGGTCCGTTTCTGCAGCTGTTTCCGTCCTTGTGAAACGAGCTGAGTACAGTCTCCTTTCTGGGAAGCATCAGGAAGAGAGGATGGGCAAGGTAAAAAGAAGCAAGGGCCAGAGACCTAGGGTCAAGGAGGCAAGGCTGGGGATGGCAAAGCCAGGAGTACCTGGTCAGTGACATCGTACACCACAATGATGCCATGGGCTCCCCGGTAGTAGCTGGAGGTGATGGTCCGGAACCGCTCCTGACCGGCTGTGTCCCACTTCAAGACAGGAGGGAGGGAGGGGCAGGGTCAGCCTTGCTCCACGCCCAGAGCCCCGCTCCCCTCCCAGGGTGGCGCCTCTGCACGGCGGCTTTGGGAAGAGCGCCACTCACGATCTGCAGTTTGATGGTTTTGCCATCCAGCTCAATGGTTCGGATCTTGAAGTCCACCCCGATGGTGCTGATGTAGCTCTCTGTGTATGTGTCATCCTGAAAGGTTGGGGCCAATGAACAGGCCTGAGGCCCATCTGGAAAACCTCCCTCCAGCTCCCTGCCCCAGCTGAGCTCCTAACTGCCAAGCCCCAGCTCTCAGCACCCCACTTTGCCAGCCCTACTGCCTTGCTCAGTCAGATGTGTTGCCAGCAGGTCTTGCAACTTTGTCCTTGGTCCCCCAGGTCTCACAACTGCTGTACTCTAGGGTACGTCCTCTCCCCTCCAGCCAGCCAGCCAGCCAGGACCCCAGATGGACAGTACAGGAGACTTCTTACTCACAGCAAACCGCAGGAGCAGGCAGGACTTGCCCACGCCCGAGTCACCAATCAAAAGCAGCTTAAACAGGTAGTCACTGGAGAGAGAGCGTGGAAAGGCGTGAAGGATGGCAGGGAGCCCACCTGCCATCATCCTGGAGTCACAACTGTAACCACACTGGGAGGTGTGCCTTGGTTTGTCAGATGATGATTCTCACTAGACCCTCCCTCCAGTCCCCCACATAACATAGCTACCCCAGAGAGCTCTCAGTTTGCTGAGGCTAAATCTCACTTTACAGGGAAGGAATCCGAGGCACAGAGAGGAACCTGACTTGCCAAGGGTCACAATCAGTAGGGACAGAGTTGGGTATCTTACTGATTCCTGACAGACTCCATGGTTCCACACAAACGGGGCTCCTTAAAGAATCCCCACTACATGCCCCATGGTATGCCTGCCTTGGCAGGGGAGGCCCCAGAAGTGGAAGTCGGAGCCCAACCCAGAACCTACTAAATGACTAAATGTGTAAAGAGCCTGATATGAAGCCACCAAGCAGAAGTGGCCAACAAGTGGCAACAGCAAGAGCAGTTAAGAGTCACTGAGTTCCTAGTTTGCCTGGTCCTGTACTAAGAACTTCAAATGCACCATCTCATCAAACCCTCACGCCAGTCCAGTGAAGTGGATGCTGTTATTCCCATCTAATGAGAAAACCAGAGCTCCAGAAGGGAAGCTTTGCCCCAGGTCACACAGCTATTGACTATATGACTGGAAACCAGGTCTGTCAGACTCCAGTGTCTCTTTGCCAGCCTGCTGGTTCCCTTCTCTGTTCTCCCTTGTAATCCAGCTCAGAGCTTCACCCTTCCCCATGGAAACCTGTGGCCTGGATCCGGAGAACGAAAAGGAAGTGGTAGAAAAGAATAACGATAAGTGATACTTGGAGAAACTGTCAGTGAGAAGTCTGGGCCACGAAATGAGGGCCACCTACCCCAGCTACCCCTAGGGGGAGTGACCAAGAAGGGAGGAGAGTTTGAGGAGCAAAGACTCCCGCCGAAGAGGGGATGCAACCACCACGTTCCTCTCAACTTCAGTGTTACAGCGAAAAGAAAAAGTGTGCTGATGGTGGCGGGGGCCCGTGCAAAGGTGAGGAGGGCAAGAGAGACGGCCGGCCGGAAGCCGCAGGGCAGTGTGGCCCAAGCGAGGGGCGAGGCGACACCCCCCGCTGGAGCGCCGCCTCGGGGCCTCCCGTGTCGGATCAGCCCCGACTCCGCGCAGAGTAGAGGAACTTAAGGCCCGTCTTATGGGCCTGAGTTTATACCGAGACCAGAGACTATCGTGACAGGCTCCAAAACGCTGGGACCGTCGTCCCACCGAGGCCGCCGCCACTTTCAAGCAGCAGGTGGGGAAACTGAGGCCAGGAGAGATGGGGCTGAGAGATCGCCTGACCGTTAAGGCCTGGTAGGGCAGGTGCCTCGGGCCCCAGGAAGTGCCCTTCGGGGTCGCCGTCTTTGGGCGTCGGGTGCGATGACTAAGGGCGTCGAGCCGGGGTCTGGGGGCACCCAGGGGGAGGGGCAGGACCCGGATGTGGGGGGGGGGATGTCAGCGGAAGAGGGACCCGGATGTGGGGGTGCCGCGCAGTCCTGACCCGGGCCGGACAACTCCGGTAAGCGTAAAGCCCCGTACTCGGAATCGAGGCTGCGCCGGACGGCGCGGGCGGGGCTCACTCACTATTCGGGGTTCATGGCGGCGGCGGCGGCCCGCTCGGTCGCTCCCAGTCGGCTCTGCTCCGCCTCCCGTTCCAAGATGGTGGCCGCTCCGCCCCAGAGGCCCCGCCCGCCGCGCGCAGGCGCAAACACTTCCAACTGGGGCCTCGCCGCGCTGCTTCCTGGAACTTGTAGTCTCCAACGTTTGTGCCATTCGCGCTAGCTGCGCAGGCGTAAAACGGAGAGCCCGCACATCCTACCACTGCCGGCGCACCGCCTTCTGGGGCTTGTAGTTCGCTCCGCAGACGTATCTGGGATTGAGGACGGCGCTCTGGAGCCTCCCGGCATCCTGGCGCTGAAAGCTCAATTTAGAGCCTAGGTTAGGGGTCACCCTTCTTTTTCATGTCTATCTGACCGAGGCAATCGTGCTTTCCCTCCCAGCTCCCAGGGTTGTGACCATTAGATGAGACGGTGGGTGCTAGTAAAAGACGATGTTCATTTATCTAGAGTTCTCTGTGTGGGAGCTCCTAACTCACAGCGCAGCCCCAGGAGGAAAGGGTCATCACCTACATTTTATAGATGAGAAATATCGAGGCTCAGAGAATTCGCTCAAGGTCAAACAGCTTAGGAAGGAGCAGGGCTCAAAGTTCGCGCTCTCCAGAACCCTGGAGGTGTAAGTTGTTAGAAGAAAACCCGAACCTTCCTGGGAGACTTCCGGATTCAGAATCTGAGGCCCCCAAACAATTCTGGGCAAGGGGCAGGGTATTTTGAGCCCCAGTGGCCCGGGTACCGGACGTGAACAACGCGCGCACACACTCGCCACTCACGGGCGACCTCTACCGACCGGTCTCTCCACCCCTCGGTCTCCGCCCCCAAACAAGCCCAGCTCAGATTCAAACCGTCTTTATTTCTACAGCAATATCTGAAAACAGAGAGTGACCGCCTCACTCCCCAACCGGGGAAGCCCCTCCTGCTGCAAGGGCCATCACTGCCCCTCGCAAGAAGCTGCAGGCATGGGTAGGGGCGTGGCGGGATGGCTCGGGGAGTGGCGGGATGGCTCGGTGGGCTGGGCCCGGGGCGGAGTCAGGCCGTGCCTGGGCGGGGCCGCGCGGGAGGGCCAGTGCATAAGGCCGGGATGCGAGGCAGGGCCCGGCGAGGAGAAGACAAGGAAGTCCCCTAGCTAGGGCTCGGGCGATGGCGGAGGAAGCGCGCCCCTCTGAAACCAGGCGCTGGAGAAGGCCTAGGGAAGCCATGGGGAGACACCGCCCCTCGAGCTGTGGTGCCTAGGAGATACCACCGCGCGGAATGGGTGTGATTAAGGCCTGGGCGGTACCACTAGAGAAGGGCAAGGAGCGGGCAGCCCGGGTAGTACCGTGGACTGGGGGTTGGGGTGGCGGCCAATAATTTATTTCTCTATATACAGAAGCAACGGCCGGGGGAGGGCAGGGTGCTGAAAGGACCGCAGGTGCTCGGTGTTCCTAGCTCCGGGGTCTGGGGAGGGCAGCCGCTGAGTCTCTACCTTAAGAGACCTGGCCAGCCCTTCCCACTGTCCCAGCAGCTTAGGAAGAGGGGCCCTGCTGTTAGGAATAAATAAGGGGTGGGGCTGGAGCGGGCAGGCCCAGCTTCCAGGGCTCAGGCTGAGATGACAAGGGAGGAGGTTACCCTGAGATTGAACAGAAAAGACGGGGGTCCTTGGGAAAGACAGGCGGGGCAAGCAGCAGGCCCATGCGCAGGGCTGGGGGGCAGTGCCGGTGGAGGCTCTGGCGACCGGCTGCCCCTTCAGCATCAGCCCACGAGGGAGCGTCGCCGGGAGAGGTCCATGGAGCTGGAGCTGAGGGTGCGGCTGTCAGACAGGCCCGCGCCTCCAGGCTGTGGGCAGAGGGGACGGCGACTCAGGCCATGCTGCGGCCTGTCTGAGCTCCCCTGACCTGAAGGGGCAAAGGCAGCCAGAGTCCCTGGAGCAGGGCAGAGGCCATGCCCTGATGTTCTGGCACTTAGGCCCGTCTCCACAGTGACTGTGCTGGCACTGGCCACTACACGTCCACCCAGTGCCGGGGCTGGGCTTCTCTCATCTGCCTCCCCGTCTACCCCACAGCCAGGACGGAGACAGGAAATGCTGCTGGGTGACTAGAGATGCTTGGGAAGGAGTAGGGCCTGGCCTCAGCCGCCCAGTGCCGGGGACCCACCCAGCCCTACCTGGCCTGCCTCCGCTGCACTCTTGTTGAGAAAGTTGAGGGAGCTGGCCCGCTTCATCCTAAGGAGAAAGGATGGCAGGGTTTGCCCAGGGTAGAACTGGGGGGGTGCAGGGAAGGGGGGCAGGCTGTAGCTGGGGGAGGATGCTGGTAGGGAGCAGACTGGATGGGTGGTGGGTCAGCGGGACTCACTCTGGGTCAGGGCTTGTCTGGAGTTGGTGGGTGTTGGTGAGTTTTTGAGGGGCTCACCCTGGATGTGGCTCACCTGGGGTTAGGGGGCTCCTGGGGGCCACCTCCCTGCAGCTTTTTCACCAGCATCTCACTGCTGCGCCTCAGGGCATCCCGGAGCTTCCCGAAGGAGCCGCTGCGCCGCAAGGAACCGCTGCCGTCCTGTGGGGGACAGGCTCATCTCTGTCCACACCGTGCCATGCCCCCTGCCCACCCTGGCTGCACACTCACCCCGCTCCACTCGGCTGAGGGCCCTGGGTCCTCCAGGTCAGACTCGGCCCGAGGACCGGCCCCTCCGGCCATGTCTCGGCTGCTGCGGCGGTCTCCGCGCCCAACACTGCCATCTTTCAGCAGCTCCACCACCTTGGTCTGACTCGCAGGGTCCAGGCCCTGAGGGAGAGGCGGGAGCATCAGGCCTGTGTGGGTCACACATGGGGCCACAGAGGTCCCTGCCACACCCCCATGCATGTAGCCCCACCTGCTTGTGGCTACGGCTAGCGCAGTCCTCCAGTGTGTGTGCGGCTTCTAGCTTGCCCTGCCGCCGGTACAGGGCCCCCAAGCTGCGCAGGGTGGTGTTGACCGTGGGGCTGTGGGTGGGACAGTGGGACAATGTCAACCTCTATGTTCCCTAGGACCCAGTGGGCACCCAGCCCACACTAGGCCCTGAGGAACCGATCAGGCCAGCTAGAATCTGAGCCCCTCCTAAGTGTCAAGCCCTGGGACAGGCCCAGCCAGCTTCTAGCTTGGGGGAATCACCCCAGGGCTGGAGACCTGGCCCTGGGGCCCTGGAATGATGCTGCCCTGAGGCCGAAGAGCTGAGAGACTCAGGAGGGAGAGAATCAGGCTGTCCTGGGGGAAAGAATGCCTTCTTGGGACAGGTAGCCAGGGCCTGGCCTTAAAAGAGGCTTGTGTAGAAACGGGGTGTGTTCTGGGTGTGGGCAGCCCCCAACCAGGATGCTGGTTCCCTGCTACCTGCTCTGCCTCCTGCCCTGCCCCACCTCTGCTGCCCTCACCTGTCTACTTTGCAGGCCTTGTACCAGCTGCCGTATTCCCCATATGGGGTGCTGTCCCGGCGCTTATCCTGGGGAGAGAATGGTCAGGGCAGGGGGAGAAGGCGCACCCCTCCACGCATCCCAGCCTCCCTGCCCCACGGAGCTACCTTGCTCTCCTCCCGTTCCTCTGCGTGCATCCAGATGGGCTTGTTGTTCCCTGGGGGGAGAAAGGGGACTGTCACCAACATCTCACAGAGCCTGGCCTGCTGGACATGCACTGGGGTCTGGGGTGGGGGCACCAAGAAGGGCTAAGGTTGGACTTTGTTAAATGAATGAGAAGAAACAGACCCCAAACATTACCAAGTCCCCTCTGGACAGAGACAAGCAAAGCAAGGGCCTGCACATGGGGGCCTGCTGTTAGGTGGGGAGCAGCTAGGGGATAGACCCTTCACACCTCTGGCCCACAGCCAAGGCGTGAGTTATGGGCCAAGCTCCGAGGGACCCCACAGCAAGAAATGACTGACCATTCGGGGCAAGAAGACAGCTTCCCAGAGTGGGGGGGACACTTGAGCTGGGCCCTCAAGGTGGGCAGGCGTGGCCCAGTGGAGAACGGGAAAGAGACTCCGGGCCCAGAGTATGGGGCGTGTCAGCTGTGTGAGTTGTGTGAATTGTGTGAGTTCTGTGTGAGCTCCCACAAGTTGTGTATGCGCTTGTGTGAGTTCTGTAAGTTTTGTGGGTGACCTCCCGCATGATTCTGTATGTGATTTGTGTGTACTCTCCTGTGTTAGCTGTGTGTATGCGTGCCAGGGTGCACACGCTGGAGGTGAGGCTGGGTGCCGGTGGCTAGGTGGGCCAGGGCTCACCATTGACAGAGCCAAACTCCTTCTCGTGAGCGCGCGTGAGGATCTCCTTGTACAAGGTCTCAGCATCCTGGTACTTGCCCTGTTTTAGGTAGCAGGAGGCCTGGGGGGTGGGGGGCAGGGGCCCAGTGGGTGAGCAGGATGCAGGGTGCCAGCCTTTTCCTCTCCCCACCCCGTTGCTCTGCTCTTCCTCCCTCCTCCCCGCCCCTCACAGCCCTCCGACAACAGAGCACCAGGTTGTTCTTGGTCTTGGCCACGTTGGGGTCGTCCGGCCCGAGGCGGGTGGCGTAGATCTCCAGGGCCCGCCGGTAGTAGTACTCGACTTCCTCGGCCTTGCCCTGGTTCTGGCACAGCAGAGCCAGGTTGCTCAGCTGCTTGGCCACATCAGGGTGGAATTTGCCCAGGACCTGGGACGGGAACCAGGGGTGGACTCAGGAAAACAGTGGCCACGCAGGGCCTGTCCGCGCCCCCACCTGCCCGGCCCTGCCTGCCCCCACCTTCTCCCGGATCTCCAGCGCCCGCTTGCACAGTGGCTCTGCCTCCTTGTACTTGCCCCGCTTGCCGTACAGAACTGCCAAGTTGTTCAGCGTTGCGGCCACCTGGGGTGGGGACAGTGGGGGCTCCATGGCGCAGGGCCCAGCTTGGCAGGGACTCTGGGGCCCGGGAGCTCAGGGGCAGGGGGCAGCCCCACCTCCCACCCTGTCTTCACTCACAGCTGGGTGGTCCTTGCCCAGCGTCTTCTCCCGGATGGCCAGGGCATCGTTGAGCAGATGAGCAGCCTCCTTGTACTTGTTCTGGTCCCTGGGAGTGGGCAGGAGCATGGTGAGAGCTGTCCTCCAGCCCCAAGGTCCCTGCCTGGTGGCCCGTGACCCCTGTGGTCACTCCCATATTTATAGATAAGTGAGCATGAGGGGGGGTCTGACCCAGAGCATAGGAAGAGCTGGTCACCCTGTGCCTTCTGGGAGCTCCCTCCCCCCAAGTCAGGGCACCAGAGTGGGATGTGCTCTGAACTCCCCAGGTCTCCCCTGACTGCCTCACGCCCAGCCCGAATAAGTTCTCTGACCCCCACCCCTCCAGTGCCCCTGGCTCCATTCTGCCGCGCCTCTGCTAAAGGCTGCTTTCTGTGGGGAAACCACTCTCAACCCTCGTGTTCTGGGCAAACTCATTCTCACCAAAGGCCCCACTCAAGCCCTGGAGAAGCCGTGCTGGCACCCAAGTCTTCATGGGCTGCCCCCCTGGTTATGTCCAAGTCCTTCTCCTCCACCAGACTGAGCTGTTCACGTCTGGAGCCCCACGCTCCCCGTGGCTCAGCCCTCCAGGTACAAGGTCTGCTTCTGTCGCCTCCCAGCAGGGCCCAAGAGTTGGGCTCACCGATACACCAGTGCCAGGATGTTCAGCATGGTGGCCACATCAGGGTGGTCGTGGCCCGACGTCTTCTCCAGGTCCTCGAGTGCCTGCTTGCAGAGCGGCACGGCCACCTCATAGCGGCCCTGCGAGGCGTACTGGATCACTAGGTTGTGCAGGGTGCGGAGCCGGGCCGGGATTTCGTAGCCTCCATGCTGGGCGGCCACATCTCCTCCTCCAGGACTGGGGGCTGTAGGGCCAAGGGCAAGAAGTCAGATGTACCCTCTGTACACGGGGCTAGGCTGGCCTACGTGACCCTAGGCAAGTCACTAACTGCTCTGCCTCGGTTTCCCCATCTGTAGGGAAGTCTAGTCACCCCAGCCCCGCCCACCTGCAGGGAGGTCACAGAATGAGCGAGTTTGGAGTCCCTGCTCCATACTTCAAGCTGTGTGTCCTACAGCAAGTCACCTAACCTCTGAGCCCCAGCCTCCCTATCTGCAGAGCAAAGGCTTGGGTAGGTGCTCAATGCTGCTGGCAAGGCAAGCTGGTCCCGGCCCAGCACTGTGCGTGTGGCTCCTCCTCCTTCACCCTCAGAGGAGAAACTGTGGCTGCCCAGGGGCGCTCAGAGAGGAGAAGAAACTCTACCAGTGGTCACGGCAATTTGTGGCAGGCCTGGCTGCTCCAGAGCTCCTAACTGTCATGTCTACCTCCATAAAGCTGGACGTGGTGGGAGGTAACACGGAAGAACTGGCCTCTTACGCTCTAACAGGTGGGGTGTTGTGGTCAGAAACGAGGCAGGAAAGAGCATGGTGGCCACTCAGTCCCCATTTCCTGGGACCCCAGAGGTCCCAAGACCAGGAGTTGCCACAACCCTCCCTCTACTGCAGAACCAACTGCCCGTTGGCACCTGGGCTCTGCTCCTCCTCATTGGGAAACAGGTCATCCAGAGAGTCTTTGGGGACCTCCCCCTTCTCCTCCTGGAGGGAAAACAGGACCGGTGTCAGGAAGGGAGGTGGGGTCAGTGGGCTGCCCCTCCCTGCTCCCAGGCCCCTTCCCCAGTGCAGCCCAGGGCCACAGTGGGCCTGGCTCACGTTGGGGGAGGTGTCCTCATCCAGCTTGCGGATCTGGCTCATGAACAGCAGGTGCTGCTTCTCCTCCTCGAGTTGGGCCACAGCCTGCTCGCTGCGCTGCAGCTTCTGCTGCGTCCCCGCCAGCTCCTCACGCAGCCACTGGTTCTCCTGCACCAGGCGCCGCACCTGAGCCCGCAACTTCTGCTTCTCCGACTCCACGGCCCCCAGGTGGTTCGACAGCGCCAGGATCACCTGTGGTGGCCAGCAGGATGAAGGTCAGAGCCCTGGCCACCTCCCAGCAGGGCCTCCAGCCTGGGCCTGCTGGGGCTCTGGGACCCCGGGAAGAGCTGGGCCTGGCCAGGAAACTTTCCCCAAGGCCTGTAACAGACCAGTCCAAGGCCTGGCCCAGGTCATCTGGGGTCCCCGGACTCCTTCCTTCTAGAGTCAGGAGCCCGGGGCTCCCAGTTTGGCCCCTTTCCTGGGTCTCAGCCTGGCCTCTGCACTGATGGGCAGCTCCCCATCGGCAGGGTGTTCTGAGCAGGAAGAGTGCTGGCTGCAATGCTGTGCCCTCCACAGGCTAGCAAATTCTTCTGCATCTCGCCTGGGGTGGTACTCAAGCCTCTGCAGCCACAGCCTCTACTCCACCATTCCCACTGTCCATCCTCACCCAGAGTGGGCAACTAAAAGCCTTCCCTTGCAACCCTGCCCCAGGGCTGGTGCTTTCCCAAAGAACCCTGGTGATAGGCTGAAGACCCCATCCTGAGCTCTGCTCAAGGGTTTGGATACCCCCGTCCTTCTGAAGCTCCTCCAGATGGTCTGTGGAACCACAGGGACAGGTAAGGAGATCCCGGGCCTCAGACTCAGGCCCTACCCCTCTCCCCTTTCCTAAGCTTCCAGGTTCTTCCTGCTGCGGTGTCTTGGCCTAGGCTCCACCCTCTGCTTAAAATGCCTTCCCTCCTTTCTCCTCCACTGAAACCCCACTCAGCCTTCAGGGTGCCTTCCCCTCTGTTCCATCTCACATGGGGCTCCCAGCACCCTCTACTGCCCTGTTGCCCATCTGTGTCTGTGCACTCTGGGGCGGGGCCCCTGTGTGTCCATCTTGCACCCCAGAATCAACTGGCTGAGGCTGAGGTGTGAACGCGCCTTCCTGAAGGCCAGGCAGTCTGGGTCATGCGTTTTCTAGTTGGTTAGCAAATGCCTAATGACAGGTGTTTTTACAACCACTAGCTTTTAAAAACATTCCCTAAACGGCCTGGAAGTACACACAGCACATGGCTTGACTCCTATTTTAAAGACAAATAAATCAAAATAATACAACCTGCCCAGGATTCGAAGAGCCAGGCAGGGGCTCAAGAAACTCTTTTCCCCCAGGACCTAACTCCTGGCACGCCCCATGCCCCCTGGACATATCCACCTGCCTGTCATCCTGGCAGCCCCAACTCAAGGCCAAACAGAACTCTTGACCCATCCCCAGGCTGTGGTGGCCCCTTAACTTGCTCAAACCACAAGCCTGGGAGTTGCCCTGCCCTCTCTCTCCCTTACTGCATCCCCAGGGTCCCCTTGGGCAGACCTCCAAAGCATCTAGAACTTAGCCCTTTCTCTCCAGCTCCAAGGCTACCCCGTTAGTCCAAGCTGCCATCTCTCACTTGAAATCCAGTAGTGGCTTCCTAACCACTTGCTACCTGCCTCTACTCTTGGCCCACTATGGTTCATTCTCTATACCTCAGCCAGAAGAAGCTTTTAAAACCTAAGTCAGACCACGGCCCTTGCCCCTGTAAAACCCTCTAAAGGCTTCTCGATTTCCTGAGAATAAAACCCAAACTAACAAGGCACAGCATGAGCTAGCTCCTGTCCACCTATCCACCGGCCTCTGCTGACACTCTCCCCTCCCTCATGAGGCTCCAGTCACATGTCTTTGAATTCCTTACCACCACAAGATCTTTCCTACCTCAGGACCTTTGCACATGCAGCTTCTCCCCTTCCTCCCTTTTCTGGAGGCTGGTTCATTCCTTCCTTCAGGTCTTGGTTTAACTGTCATTTCCTCAGAAAAGTCTTGCCCGACCAATAGACAAGAACCCCTACTATAAGCTATCACAAGATCTTGTTCTTTTCTTTCTAAAATTTATCACAATTTGTAACAATTATTTGTGAATGTATGTTTCTGTCCCTCTTCCTACTGGACTAGGGCCAGGGATCTTGTTGGCTCTTGCATCCCTGGCACCTAATGGTGCCTGGCACATAGCGAGCACTTGATAACTTATCTGTGAATGAATAAATGAAAGAATGAAAAATTTTGAGGAGTGTTTCCTTAAAGACTTCCTTTCTGTTCATCTATGCCAGTCAGTCTCTGCTGGGTAGAGGGGAGCCAGGAACAGGGCGCTGGGTGGGGGCTGGAGGGTGATCAGGGACTATTGGGGCAGGGCAGGGCTGGGGTCCCCAAACAGCATTCATTTCAACAGATATTTATTGGGGTAGCAGTTCTATTCTGTCCTATAAGGTCGCTGTGAGTCAGAATTGACTGGACGGCAATGGATTTTATTTTTTTGGTTTTCACCCAAGTTGGGCCAGGGACAGATGGTTCCCTGCTCAGATTTGGCGCCTACGTCGCCAGGACTCCTATAAGGAAGGCTCAACTCCTCCAGTCTCCTCCCATCTCAGCGCCCCAGGCAGCCTACCTGGGCCTCCCCCAGCCCCAGCTCTATGGCTTCCAGGGAGCGACGTAGGAGGACGCAGCGCTCCTGCGAGCCGGGCTCGGTCTCACCAGCCTCATGCGCAACCAAAGGGGCGAGCAGGGCACGATGCTCCCCGCGCAGGGTCTCCAGCCCCTGGATGACGGCCTTGGTGCCCAGCACGATCTCATCCTGGCTCAGCTTCTCCTCCCGTGGAAGCACCATCGTGGCCATGGCCGCACCGCCTGCGAAGGAGAAGGGGCGGCAGGCGGGCGCCGGGCCTGGGGCCACACCGCCGTCCGCCCCGGATTAGGTAAACACCGGCGGTCCCCAGACGCCTGGGTCCCCCGGGTGTCCCAGTCTCCCGGCCGGCAGCCCGCACCGTGCCCAAGCTCGGCCTACAGGGGGCGCGCCCGGCTCGTCTCGGCCCCGGAGACGCAATGCGGTGCGGCGAGTGAGGCCAGACCCGGATTCGGCCCCAGACCACCAGCTCAGGCCGGCGTGTGCCGCTTCGTCTCGGGGCTTCCCTGGGGATTCCTTTCTCCAGGGCAGGGCGTGCCAGGGGACAGGCTACGGGGCCCGTGGGGGCTCACTCCCGGACGGGAGAGCCCGGCCCCAGCCCCTCGGACAGCCCCCTCCCCAGCAGGCTGGCGGAACCAAGGAGCCCTCCCCTAGGGCAGGCCGACCCAGCAGAGACCTTCCACTGGAGGGGCCGGGACCTGCGGGGTCCCCCGTCTCTCCAGGCCGCGCCCACGACACCTCCTCCCTCTAGGCCGGGGCGCGCCCTGCGGACCCTCCCCTGGAAATGCCGCGGCCCCGCCCAGCCGGCCGC